CTCTCTCTCTCTCCCTCTTTGGCTTCATCTCTAACGACCACCATGCATGGCGGACCCCGAGTTTGAATGGGGACTTGTGTTCAACGCTCACGGCAACCTTGACATCCAACGATCGCCGTTCTTCGACGCGGGATTTGATTCCGACGACAATACTGTTGGAGCCTACTTGGATCGGATCCTACCGACTCTCATAATCGTCATCGACAAGCAACATCCCGACTCCGAGTGGATCATTGACGGCCGCCCACCCGCTCCTCCAAATCCGGCTTCTTTCCCGTCGACAAGTCATCTCAAGATCACTTATATATTAGTGGCATCGCTAAGTCTACTTTCGATTCTCTTCCGCTAACCACCACTTTCACAACGAGTGACGGATCTCAAGGTGAACGATCTAAACTTTAAACGTGTGGCTTTAGTAGTAGCTATTTGCATTATCTAGTTTATTTTGGGTTATCTTTTGCAAGACTCTTGTAATTCTTAAATGTAATCACTGCCGTTAACATAATCTATCACGAATTTTCTTGAATCCTACTTGAGTAAGCTAGATTTTATCATTAACATTGCAAAGTTAAACTCTCTTTAATCTCTAACGTGCAAGTCATGTTTCACCACATATGGTTTCACATCAAATGTTGTCTGGCATGGAATCTTGATCTAATTTTGTTTTGTTTTGTAATCTCTCAAGCAAAATACAATCCCGAAAACCCAAAAATTGGGACAAAATGTTCTCATCACTATCATCTAAACTGTATGTACGAGTGGATGGAAATAAGTGACAGTTGTCCGATTTGCGGGAAGGTCTTGGATTATATAATTTAGGCTTTAGGACAGCGTTCTTAATAATTTTTAAAACAAATTTCTTGTACTAAAAATCTATTTTAGAAAGCAACAAAAAGTTGTCCCAAATCAAATTTTAGTTATACTTAGGGCATCTTCAACGAAAATTCTCAATTTCACTCCAAAATGCCTTGAAACTAAAAAATGTCGCGGTTCATCTCCAATTGAACTCCATTTTGCCCCCTTTGCGAAGATAACGGTTGTTCACTTATTTCGAACGTTTTTCTTTGATAAGTTGGGTAGAGACAGAAAAATATCGAAGATGAACAGTGCAACGTTAATATTGGCTTCCCACTGTTCACTCGCAACCAAATAGCTTAAATTTTACCGTTCGGTTGGGGCTCGTGAGGGACGTCATTCAAGCATTTGGAGTTCGGTTGGAGATGCCCTTACCTGCTTTTTGTTTAGAATTACTCATCTTTTTTTAATCATTCATTTGTTCTTCCATTGTTGCATGTAGACTGAGAATCTTTATCGTGTTATTCAAGATGTTGTTGGTCTTGTTTTATACAAAGATAATTGAATAATTACCCTTTTTACTTTATAATCTTTGATGTTGTACAGGAGATGGAGTTCTGTGAAAGCCCTTGACAAAGGCTTTTTTAGCAAAAAAAACTCCACGGAGTACGGTTAAAAGCATCAAATACTGGAAATAAAATATGTAAATAGCATTATCAGAGCTGCGGCCGAAAAATAATCATTAATCAGCCAATGCGGCAGGTACCTTCAAATATATCTGCACAACATTTGGCAATCTTGTTTCAAGATTTTAATTTGCTGTATAGAAAATTTCATGCGTTGAAAATTTGCTTTGTACTGAATATCTGTATCTAAATTGCAATGTTGAAGGCCTTGTTGATGCTGCTCTGTTGTGTATTTTTTTTTTTTAAATGAGCTTGAAATTGCACTTTCACAGATGTTTGTGGATCACAAAGTTAGATTAGCGAAGAAACAGAACAGTGTTTAACACTTATAACACAATAAAGCGAGTCAGACATCTCACCCTCTAACACAAAAACAGCTTAGGATCTTACAGCAAAGATCAGCTATTCCAAATTTGGGAATCAAACCCTACCTTCCCAAAGGCATTCCAGCTTGGGATTTGATCCCGACAAGCTTCGGAGAAGATTTCCGATTTCTGGTGGTGAATTAAGTCCCATAGAGCACGCCCGCTCCCAGCGCTCGAGCCTACTGAGCCCGACACAGGGCCCGTACCGCATCTCCATGTCGAATTGCCTCAGTTTCTCGTCACCATCCCCTTTGAAATTTTCCGAATCTGTATGCTGTGAGATGCCGAAATCGATGGAAAACATGAAAGAAGAAATAGTTACCTTGGAGATCAAACTTGCCATGGGCGATGAGGGCTGGGGTGTCTGTGGGCTCCGGCAGACAGATCGTGCCAATGCTTGACTTGCCGGAATTCTTCCTGGAGGAGGATGAGGGTTTCTTGGAAACGCCTCTCTTCTTCTGCCGGAAGAAATCCTTGATGTCGGATGAAGCCATCTGTGTGTGCGCGCGCGTGTGTGAGATTTCAAAAACGCCTCTCTTCTTCTGCCGGAAGAAATCCTTGATGTCGGCTGAAGCCATCTGTGTGTGCGCGCGCGTGTGAGATTTCAAAATAAAAAAAAAAGAGTTATTTAAGAAGTAGCGACGGAGGAAGAATGGGATTGGAGTGGTCGGTGATGGGTTCGCCCTTGTTTTTGGGCGGGCCAGGCGGACCCAAAGCCTGTTAATCAAATAATGAGATTTGAGGTATTTATCCTTAAATGAACCAGTCATTCGTCATCAAAGATAGATTTAGGTTTTTTTTTTATAACTTTTTTATTTCTTTCTAAATCAGCTTTTTAGTATAAACATTTTAAATGATATGAAAATTCATACTATTTTCTCAAACAGTTTTCATAATATAAATTTTTTAGTTTAAAAATTTTTTGTACTACCCACCATTGTTTAGTTTGGTTGGTGATTGAGTGTGGCTCGGAACCCCCCAATCTGTGCTCAATTTCCATCGAGCGGCAGCGCCTCTTAAGTGGGACCCAATCAAGTGCGAGTCAGGAGGTTTCTGGGGTGAGTGCCTCTTCCAGGTCAGTCGAGGATTATTCACGCCGCTAAGCTCCCTTACGGAGGTGGCAGTGAGTGGATACCCCGTTCAAAAAAAATTGTATTAAAAAATTGCTTTAGAAAGTAGTAACAAAGTAGTAAAAAAAGAGTCGTTGCTCGTTAGGTTTTGATTGGAATAGTTTTTTGTCATTATTTTGTTTGGAATTTTTACATACATAACACCTAAAACTATTAAAACCATATATTTAACATCTAAACTTCTATATTTACTAATATATCACTTAAAATCCTCTTTTCTTTCTATTCTACTACTCCAGTGATGAAATACTTGTATTAAAGTGAAAGAATGTCATTGACAGGGAAGACAATCGTTGATAGTGGTTTTTAATGGAAGGTTTAAACGGAATGTTATAATTGATTATAAGAGGAGTTTTATGTGGTATATTAGTAAATATAGAGGTTTATGTGTTAAATATGTATTTTCAATAATTTTATGTGTTATGTATGTAAAAATTCATATTTTTTATTATTTAAAAATTTTTATCAAAAGTTGTTATGAAAAATAGTAAAATAATTGCCCATATGAAGCCTTAATTTTTTTAAGATGATAATATAACATTATGCAACAAGGCCCTCAAGAAATTCTTATATTGTTTATATATATATAATAGTATAGAAAATGTTAAGATTATCAAGTCTATCCAAGCCGAGCACACCGCTATCGCATCCTTATAGATCTAGGGTTTATTTCTCGCTGCCGGCGCGCACCGTGTCCGCGTGGTGATTTGGGTGGCGGCTCGAGATTTCTTCAGCGGAGATGGAGGTTGACGTAGGTCGAGCTCCGGCAAGCAAGATCCGATGGGGAGAACTGGAAGAAGATGATGCTGAGGAGATGTATTTCTTTCTTCCGCCGAGGATCGTAATTGGGCCCGATGAGAACGGCTTGAAGAAGGTGATCGAGTACAAGTTCAACGATGATGGAAAAAAGGTAAAGGTAACGACCACCATACAAATCCGCAAACTTGCGCGCGCGAGGCTTAGCAAGCGTGCTCTGGAGCGCCGGACATGGGCCAAGTTCGGGGACGCCGTACACGAGGATACCAGCAGCCGCCTTACTATGGTATCCACGGAGGAAATTCTTCTTGAGAGGCCTAGGGCTCCAGGTTTCATTCTGGAACTTGATGCTTATGTTTATTGATTAAATGATTATACATTATAGTGCATACTTTTCATAAAGAAGAAAGGCATAGCAGGTTATACCAAAAGCAAAGAGAAGCATGAAACTAGTTTATGAGTATTCATCTCTCTCAGAACAGTGAGTACAGGTTTATATAAAGCTGAGAATGAAAAGGTATCCAAAGCAGAGTAAGCATCCAACGGTTACAAATAAATGAGTTAGTTGTAGAGGCTGAGATGATGAACATAGAGGTACTATGGCAGGACTCAGAGGTGGTGGAGTGTTCCATGTTCAGGCAGTTGAGGTGATATGCAGTAACTAGTGTTGGTGGAGAGATTATTGCCTTTAACAGCCCCTAACAAATTGATAGTCCAAGGTTGGAGGGTAAATTTGTCACGAAGTAGAAAGAACTTACTATTAGGAACTATGATGCACAGACACAAACACGAAGACACAGATATGACACGGATATGGGATATGTCAATTATTAAAAGTATAGGACAAATATACAATATTATAATTTTTATATTTTAAAAGTAGCATAAAAATTTGATAAGTATAATATTAAAAATAATAAGTCATTTGATTAGAATTTGTGCTTAAAATGATTAATATTTGGATGTTGAGAGTCGAATGTAGATGTCATGTATCAGGCAACGAGAGAGGAGACGACAATGCTATCAAGAGTCGGGCATCAATGTTATGCAGTAAGTATCAGACATTGATTTTAAGAGGGTGTTTGTCGTCGATGTTGAGAGGGCGTTGATCATCAATGTTAAGCTATGATGCACTGACACACCTCTTGAAGAGAGAATGCAGTGTCGGACAGGGACACGTGCCCGATATGGTTGGGACACGTGTCTGATTAAAATAATGTTTAAATTTAACCGATACGGCTGGGACACGTTTCAGACACGGTTGGGACACGTTTGTCCTAATTTTTATGATAAAATTATTTTAATTATAAATAGATGATATCCAATGAACTATTATGAGAGAGAAATAGAGAAGTATATAAGTAAATAGATATATTTTTTTGTGATTTAGATTAGAGGATAACAAAATATTATGGGAGAAAACTAGCGAACTAGAGAATTAAATAGATGCAAAGAAGAACTAACTTTCATTATATGATATCCAATGAACTATTGCACATCTTTCTCTTGATGAAACAGAGTTGGAATCAATGATATTAAATGATGATGATCTTGAAGGTCAAAAACAAACCTCTGAAGCTAATCCTAGTTGTTGAAGCTTAAATGCTTGATGTTGTAGCAAGTTGTTATTTGCTTATATTTTTGTGGTTGTACTAGACATTTTGTACTAAATATTTTATATTATAAGCTAGACAAGTTATCATGTCATTCATTTATTATTGTTTGTCATTTTTAATATAATCTTCCATTAATATCTATATACTATATAAAAAAATGTAATGTCGTGTCTGCGCCGTACCCGTGTCATATATTTTCAAAAAAAGCGGTGTCCCGTGTCTATGTCGTGTCGTGTTCGTGTCCGTGCATCATAGATGTTAAGAAGACGTCGAACAAAGATGAGCTATCAAGTTGTGGTTATAGAGATTGCTAACGTCGAGTATCAATGTCAAGATAGTGGACTTTGATGTTGAGATGGTTTTGAAATGTCAATGTTGTAATAATGTTAGACGCCAATGTTGAGATGACATCAGTCATTGTTGTGAAATCAAAGTCATGATCTATTAAAGAGAAATGAAAATGATATTTTATGATGAATGAGATAGTGAGTGTGATTGATTTGACGTTGTATATAGGAAATAAGAAATTTAGTTTTATATTTTAAATAAATAAAAATTTTAAAACAAGAAATTATATTTAAAAATGTTATAAAATATTTAAGATACATGTGTTCAATTTGTATTTAATATATTTTTAATCAAACATATTTTTGATATGTTCGACACATATCAGAGGCGTGTCAGATACACGTCGGATATTGCATGGCTTTTTTAAGAGAAGTGTCGGTGCATTATAGGTTAGGAAGAGCTTTCATAAATATGTCGGCAATCTAATCAGTGGTGGAAATGTGATGAACAATGACTTTTTTAGGCTTGATACACTCCCAAATGAAATGATAATCAAGTTCTATATGTTTGGTACGCGCATGAAAGACCGGATTGTGAGCAAGGGAGATTGCGAAGAATAGATAGGAGTTCATTGTATGGAAGGAATTTGAAAATCTTTTAGCAACCTTTGAAGCCAAATGAGTTCGGTTGCAAGTGTAGTTAATCCACGATATTCAACTTCAGTAGAGGATCGCGCAATAGTAGCTTGCTTCTTGGTCGCCCAAGACATTATATAATTTAACTATTTGATTATTTTGTAAACATCCTAACATTACCACCTTATGTTTTGTGGATATGACATCATTACATTTTTTGCATAAGCTTTTTTTTTTTTCGTTAGTTTAAACAAAATCTAGATGTGATTGAGTAGCTCACTTTTTTAAACATATTTTAAGTTTTATTCTTGTTCCTTAAGTTTTGTGCTCTTATTTCTTAGATCATTTGCTATTGTAAATTCAATTATAATAGTTATGAATTTCATCTTCTAATTCATGTCTGTCATGAATTCTCTGATATGGCATTCTCCTAGGCCCTACATATGCATTCTGTGATATGTATCGAAAGAAAGTTTAAAACAGTCCAAGGGCGGATCAATATCCTACTGCTCTAGCAGAAGTCTGATTAAATTGCAGCCCTCAATGCAAATAACAAAGGAAGACATCATTGCTCACCAAAGGGGACTTGTTGCGATATTTCTCAAATCTTTGGCTGAATTGCCTTTTTATAGTAAAAGATTATATAGAAATTTATCAGAATGCATGAAAATTTCTTGTTTTTGTCATGGAATCATCTCAACGCAGGTAGTAAAGCGGAAGAACCAAAGTCTGCAGGAGACCCACTTGCTGCAATGGTGAAATCTGGAGCTTCCCTCATGGTTTGCAGAACTTGTGGGAAAAAGGGCGATCACTGGACTGCGAAATGCCCTTACAAGGATCTGGCCCAGCCGATCGACTCCTCCATTGATAAGCCTCCCACCGCAGAAACTTCTACAGGTGCTGCTGGCAAGACCACATATGTTCCTCCTGGCATGAGGGCAGGTGCCGCCGATAAGGGTGGAAGCGAGATGCGGCGGAGGAATGACGAAAATTCCGTCCGTGTTACCAATCTATCGGAGGATACTCGCGAGCCTGACCTTCATGAACTCTTCCGCACATTTGGCCCTGTAAGCCGCGTCTATGTGGCTGTAGATCAGAAAACTGGAGTTAGCCGCGGCTTTGGCTTTGTGAACTTTGTTCATAGAGAAGATGCTGAGAAGGCGATCAACAAGCTCAATGGCTATGGTTACGATAATCTTATTCTTAGAGTTGAGTGGGCTACTCCGAGGCCTAATTAAGTTGATTCACCTGTGGATTATTCTGCTTATTTTATTTCGAACTGTGTTTTCTCGCTTTTATTTGTTAGCGATATGTTGCAGAAACCCTTAAAATGGGAGTAAATCATATAGTTGTTGCAAACATGATGAACATTATTGAATTTTGATTGGATAATGAGCATTTTGATTGTCAGCTTTTTCTTATTCTGAACAATTATTAGAGAACAGCAATTATTTCCTTCAACAATTTTTACTCAAGCAGGCAGGTGATTTATTATTTGATCTTTAGGATTTTTACATACATAACACTTCAAATTATTATAAATACATATTTAAAATTCAAATTTTTATATTTATTAATATAACACCTAAATTCCATCTTTTCATATAATATATCACTACGTTGTAACCCCTGTCAAAAATCTCGCATCTACTCTATCGGCTGTAAGGTCCGATGACATTCTGCTATGGACGATGAAGAGAAGGGGATTCCTCATTGAGCCCTCTTTGATCCCTTCTCCCCATTCCTATTCCACATCTCCTCACCAAAGTTCCAGGCGCGTAGTAAGCTTCCGCCGCCTTCATGAGAAACGAAGATGGTGAGTCTCTCGTAGTAGAATTTTTATTGTTCATCTACTTACTTCTCTGCTTTATTTGATCTCTGGGAAGGAGAAGGTGGTTTCAGGGCCTCTCTCGAATCAGCCTTTATGGCTTTCAAAACCATGATATGCATATTCAGTTATCGAGATCTTGGTCCGGAGTACCTGCTCCAAGTACACCACGATCTCTTATTTGACAAATAGGGGCATAGTTCACAACAAATGCTCTTTATATACCTTACATTAACTAAGAGTCCATATAGAAATTCAAATAGAAAATCAAGGATGCATTCAAATTAATCTTTATATGCAACTAATCAATTAGTTCACAGTACTGATTGCCGGTGGAAAGGGAAGAGCGTCTACTTGAGTCATCAACTTGAATAACCCTAGCCGGACAACCCACCAGTGCCGTTCGAAGAGAATGGGGCGACGAAGGCTAAAAGGACATGTTTGGGGAAAGGTATCGCCTTTGCGGAGCTAAGGGAGGTGGCCATGGCTATTGTCTGGCAGTTCATGCTGAAGATTGTGGAGGGCCATGTGGTGTAGCCTAATTTATCGATCATCAACTTGCTCGGCAACATCACCTGACAGTGAATCGAGCGAGAAATTTTCAGTTTCACAAAGGCATGAACTTGAATTTAATGTGGTCACCGTTAGCCATCATTCCTGGAACATTTGTCATGTTTGTTGAGGTAGAAGACATTGGCTCTAGAACAACAAAACAAATCGATATCATGGATTTCTGATGTTGCTGGCATGTCCGCAAGGAGTAGTCATGAATGATGGCTCTGGCGGTGCCAATAATCATTAGCATGTAGTCCAGCCCATCGGTAAATCGGAATAGCTCAAAAAAACTCATTGTCGGTGGCGTTGGCGCAGGCTTATCATGCCTTCCAGTCCTCCACCACGATCAGTTCCACTATGCTCGGCTCAGTGAATGCCGTCGGCGATAGTTGAGAGTGACCGGATGTAACAGAGTGGTAGTATAGATGAGAGGAAGAGTTTTTAGGTGGTAGATAAGTAAATATTAATGTTTGGATGTTAGATATGTAAATATAATTATTTAAGCGTTATGTATGTAAAAACCCCTTGATCTTTTCTTTTATTCGAACTATTATATAATTAACAATTTTCTCCTTCTTATGTGTTGCATTACTTCATTTCGGTCAAAAATTAAATTCTCGTTTTTTTTTAATTTCAAGAACACAATGAATTTTGAAAAACATTCTAAAATCTCAAAAAAAAAAAAAAAAAAAAAAAAAAAAAAAAAACAGCACAGATGTCGTAGATTGTTAGATGGGCAAAGAAACAGAACAGTGTTAAACACTTATAACACAATAGAGCGAGTCAGAAATCTCACCTACTAATACAAAAACAGCTTAGGATCTTACAGCAAAGATCAGCTATTACAAATTTGGGAATCAAACCCTGCCTTCCCAAAGGCACTCCAGCTTGGGATTTGAACTCGACAAGCTTCGGAGAAGATTTCCGATCTCCGGTGGTGGATTAAGCCCCATAGAGCACGCCCGCTCCCAGCGCTCGAGCCTACTGAGCCCGACACATGGCCCGTACCTCATCTCCATGTCGAATTGATTCAGTTTCTCGTCCCCATCCCCGTATTCATCTATTAGGGCAAGCCCATTTTTAAGATTTGTCGAATCCGTATGCTGTGAGCAAGCGAAATCGACGGAAAACATGAAAGAATAAACAATTACCTTGGCGATCAACCTTGCCGTGGGCCATGAGGGCTGGGGTTTCTGCGGGCTCCGGTAGGCAGATCGTGCCGACGCTTGACTTGCCGGACTTCTTCCTGGAGGAGGAAGCGGGTTTCTTGGATACGCCTCCCTTCTTCTGCCGGAAGAAACCCTTGATGTCGGCGGAAGCCATCCCACTCTCCCTGTGATTTCAAAATTCAAAATCGGAGCTATTTAGAAGTGGAACCAGAGGAAGACCAGGAAATATCAGTTTATATAGATGGGATTGGATATGGATTGTAGTCAGTGATGGGTTCGTCCATGGTCTCTTTGTTTTTGGGCGGGCCAGCCGACCCAAGCCCGTTAATCTAATAATGACATCTGAGGTATGTATCAGCTCAATAAAAAAACTGCACAAATAAATCTTAAGTCATTTGTGATAAAAAATGAGTTAATTTGAATTTATTTTAGGATGATATAATATAAATTTCTTTTATATAATTATTTTTAAAATAAATTCAAGATCATAATAAATTTTTGGCCACTACCTTTAATAATTTCAAAAAAACTATATATTAGAAAGCAGTAAAAAGTTGTTTTGAAGTCTCACTCTCTCTTTTTTTTTTGGGAACATGAAGAGTTAAATTTCTACAGTAAAATTTAATTAATATTTGCCTTATAAATAATGAAAATTTAAATTTAACGCACATTATAAATAAAAATATATATATATATACTTTTAGCTAATATAGTTTGCTTATCTTTTTTTCATAAGTAACACTTAAAAGGAAAATACCAATTGTGTGTTCACATACTAATTAGCTTTTATAATGTTGATTGAGAACATCCATGAAAGACTCCATTTGGAGAGAGATTATTACTTGCGGAGACCGAATAGAGAAAATCTTCTAGTTCTGTCCCTCTGAAAGGTAAAAGCGCAGTTACTGTTTATCATTGCATTTTTAGTGTTTGCCGCTGCGCTTTTAATATTCACAGAGACAAAATAGCTCTATGTATCAGATCTCCGCACGTAATAATATCTCCCGTTTGGGACATCTGAAAATTTCTTGTAAAAAAATAAAATTTAACATTAAAATCAAATAAGATTAAATTGAATAAGATAGAAATTGAGGCTTCAGCTTCATTTGGAACAGCTTTCTTACTACTTCCTAAAACAACTAATTTTTTACTAAAAAATTATTTTAAGAATACTAAAAAATTATTTTAAGAAGCAGTAAGAAAACCGTCCCAAACAAAACCTGAACGTACTTAAATAAAAACACAAATATGCAAATATGCAAAAAGTATAAAATATTAAATGAGAAGCAAATATTTAATGAAAATCAGAATAAAAAACCTATAAAACAACGCATATGCAATGTTTTATTCTCAACCACAGCTTACATCAAACAAATAGCAATAACAAAAGTTATAAACATAAGATGGCAATTATGTACTGAATTGTAGATAGCAGTAACAATGTAGAGAGAGAGAGAGACATAGATTGTCAAACAAATTCACTGAAGAGCAAAAATGTACACTTAAAACTGAAGAAGCCGCTTCAGCAAAAGTAAGTGACTTCCACTACCAAGGTTTCAGGTCGCCAGAAGGGCCAGCAGTCCAGTTCAACAGCTTCTCTCCATCTCTCATGTACACATTCTCATCATGTGGAAGCTTCCTTGCAAGTCCATTCAATATCTGGTGGAAGGCATCACCTGCTTGAGCTGGCTGAGGAAATAACATTGCTTGCTTCATTGAAGGATTTGCAAGCAACCTTTGCTTCCTCAGTATGACTTCAAGAGGTATTGAAGTGAGAATAGTATCTAGTTTCTGAACATCTTCCTCTGCTACAAAAACACCTATTTCTTCCCACGGTATCGCATCGGCGAAGGGGAGCACTATTTCGTCGGCTATGATCACCGGAATGCAGCCAAACACCACTGCCTCCACCAATCTTGGGCTCCATGGAGCCCAACCAAGAGGGCACAAGCAGAAGACAGACCTTTGCATGTCTTCATAGTAAGTGATTGGATGCTGCGAGGATATGTCAAAGAGAGGATTGTTCTTGAAGTTCTCCCAAACTGAAGCCCGGGCACCTCTGCATGTAGATTTAAAGGTGGAAACAAGAAGAGCTGTCAGATGATTGATTAAAGTTTCGTTTGAGACGGCTTTCTTACTGCTTCTTAAAGCAGCTTTTAAGTACAAAAATTAATTTTATTGTATTAAAAAGCTGCTTTAAGAAGCAGAAAAAAAAAGTCATCCCAAATAAAGTCTAAGATTACTCTGTAAACTCTTTCTCTCTCTCTCTATCTGTTATTATTATTTTTTTGTGTAAATTGTGTTAGAAACTGAATTTATTTTGGATTAAGTGTTTGCTTTCAGAAGAAAGATTGCTTCTTATATTGGGGGAAGGGAGGTGGCACGTATTATGGTCAAATTCAAAGCCTATATTGTGATTTGGTTGATAGAGCATAAATCCCTCTATCAACCACAACAAATATCTGAAATGGCTACTCAAATTAGCTTTCACTCTAGGTATATAAAGTTTTATTGAACAAAACTCATTGTTGCCCACTAAGATCTTATAAATACCTTCAGTGATTCTAGTTCTATTCGTGTGATAATTGCATTATATTTTGATAGCTTCTGAGAATAGTAACTTTGCTTGTAGATGTTACAAGTAACACATTATTATCTATATAATTTTAACACTTAAATAGCTTTTTATAAGAGAGAAAATCCAGCTTCATCAGATTCTGAAAGGCCATTCTTCACGAATTTAGGTGGATTTCAGAGCAATTACCTTGCGTAGTATCCACCTTGAGGATCATTACTATCATCATAAAATAAGCCACGGAAGTAAACAAAAATGGAACGAGGAGTTTCAGGAGGAACCAAGTGAGCTTGCATCTTCTGTGGAGGAGCATATGGGGGAATAGTGATGGATCCCTCCTTCAAACATACATGATTCATTTGTCCAAAAGTCTGAACTAAAGTGGCTCGTCGAAGCAAGGGAAGAATTCCTCGTTCTATGGCCTTTGCTTCCTAAAACCATAGGCACATTCATGTCATTACAAAGAGGTGGAAATTTGCAGAACTTATGTGAGGTTAATATGAGTTCGTTTAAGGCTCTTCTTATTCTTATTTTATTCAAATTTGGCTCGTGTTCGATTTTATTTGTAATATTATGTTCGTGTTCGATCTATTCTAGCTCCAACGAGCTTAATTAGCTTGTGTTCAGCTCGAATTCGACTTGAATTATAATTTTAACATAATTGCACATTGCCATTGGATTAGAATCCAATGATCATTATTCACATACGCCAACTAAAATAATTAGTATGAAATTAAAATGTGTGCATATATTACTTTTTAAAGAACAAATAATGAGCTGAACACGATCAAACAAAAATTCATTTGTTTAGTTCATTACTGAGTTCAAAATATATGTTCAAGTTTGACTTACTTCCAAAAAGGGAGAGTCCAACACGAGCTTCTTAGCGAGCTAAACACAAGTTAATTCATGAATAAAAGACCTAATTAAAATGATAACACAATGGTTGATAACAAAAGATCCAGGAGGTTACCTGGTAATGGAAACATGCACCAAAATCATGAGGAACGACGAAAAAGTGATCGGCTCCTTCTGTTCTGTTCCAGTAAGGCCACCTCGATGAGATCAGCTGAATGGCACTTCTCACCATTCTTGGGGATTTAAATGGCAAGGGAAGACCATTCGGAGTTAAGTCGCAGGTAGCATAAACTGGTGTATAGAACCAATCAGCTTCCTCAGGATCTAGAGTTCGAACCGGACTAGATATTAGGAAGCGGTGCATGAAAATTTCAGCGGCGAACATGTGATTTAGGCATCGTGGATCCTTCTCAACTAGCTTCTTGTTGTATTTGCTTGGTAGATCATAAACAAAAACCTTCAATCTTCCAACAGGGTTGTCTTCAAGCACATCACCAGCACTCCCTACATGTTGAAAATGATAAGTGGAGGGAAGGAGTAACGGTAACATTGATTTAGCAAAAGCATTCAGTCAGTAACAAGAAATGTGATATATATATATATATATACTGCTTCTTAAATCAACTTTTTAGTACAAAAATTAATTTTTTTTATACTAGAAAGCTGCTTTAAGAAGCACTAATAAAGCCGTCCCAAACGAAATCTTAGGCTTGTATTTTATTTTATTTTTGGACTTAAAATTGGTAAATGTTACCTGCTGGGTAATTGCTTAGCTATTCAATTTTTCTTATTTGAAGGAAATAATGTTTTGGTAAATAAGTTTACCTGATCATTGGTAAGAAGTTTATTTAACTTAAAGGCCAAGCAAGATCATGTGGTAGACTGAATCTACAAGTACCACTAGGAAGATTCCGGGGGTTAAAGAAGATTGGGACCATACCGGGAAGGAGCGGGCTTATTCAAGCATTGGCTCAACTATTTCAGGCATTCATAGACTCAAATCATCCAAAATTTGTATAGAGGTTTGCATATTACTTGGGCACTGGTTCATTCAAATTAAGTTCCATCAAACATTCAAGTCATTTTATGTCAATTGAATTTCATTGTCACTTTAATTTTTTGTTAAGGTTATTTTAGTTGATGTTATTAAGCTTGTATGAAGTTTATTATTTCTACCACAATTATAAAGGTGATATTTTGAGTTAGTTAAAATATTATTTGGTAAGAATAAAATCCTTATTTTTGATATTAATACCCTTTACCATCAACTATGAGATTTTGATCCCCGAATAAGTGTAAGATTAAAAACCTTCCAAGAGAAATGATCTCCTTTATGAAGCATAGGACTCACTTATATGTTTTCATGTAATTCCTCTTTCCTCTTTAGTTTTATCCAATTTTCCACCATTTAATCTTTTTCTAATTCTTCCATAATCTTCATATATCAAGTATGAATACTATGTATAGAGAGTTAAAAGAGAAAATTGACATCAATAGAGTTATTAAGTTCATTTTTGTTAATGGAATTATAATTGTTATCAGTGTTATGTTCCTTAGGTACAATAGAAGGAAGTTTGAAAACTAATTTGGGAAGAAATAGATGAACTACTACAATATGCTTGAAGAGGAGAGGATATCTGTGAAGAATATTTTTTTTAAAGGGACAGACAGTTCCTCATCCCTAAAAAACCTAGCAAGTACTTCTTAAACAGAAAACAGCACCAAAATTTACAGATCAAAACCCTAATACCAAACATGAAGAACAGTACATTCCAAACTCAGATTAAAAGTAAAATCAATTCAATGCATAACATTACAAGAAAAGGAATCTGCAGTGAGTAAAGATAGAGAAAAAAGCAAACCCACCTGATATTCGTTCAGCAGTACTGTGTCTCCGTTCCATCTCCAAAGCTTCATTACTCAAAATAAAATGAGCGAAAAATAGAAGAAAAATAACCTTTCTTCCCAATTCCTTCTCCCTCGCCATTACCCGACTCCCAATGGCTGAAAAATGGAGGTCTCGGCCTGAAATGGAAAATAAAAAGCTCCTTTTTTTCCCTTAAAAGAGCGATTTTTCTTCTGTTTTGGTTAAGGGAAGGGGAAACGAAGGAGGGCTGGTGGCAGTGGAGAGAAAGTGAGTAATTTTGAGTTTAATAGAAAGAAAAATAAAGGAGGCAGTTGGTTACTTGTTTTCCTTCGTGAGCTTTGCTTAAAGAAATGGAGAAAGAGGTTGGCTTTGCTTATTTTATTTGTGATGTTTTAACGCATGAAATTATTTTATTTTACATGCATTTTTTTGTAACAAAAAAAATATTTTTTTAATAAAATTGTTTGAATGTGAGTGAGAGTGACTTGATTGTAATTTTGATAAATAAAAAACTTTTTTTTTAAATATTAAATTTATCATTTCTTTAATACAAATCATAATAATGGTCTATTCTCTCTCATGCATAGATATATATTTATTTCATTTGATTGTGAATAATTATTTTAATTTAAAAAAATAGCTAATTTAAAAAAGATTGAAGAAATTTGTGAGGTAAACTGAGCTCAATCAAGTTCTCTTCTCCAAGTGTTGATGGGAGGTCAGCCTCATGCTGCTACACTGCAGCTATTAAGTTTCTTTCAACCACCCTACTCTCCTTTCACCAACCCTTAACCAAAATTTTCTATTAATTTGTTTCTTTAAACTTATTAGCTTTTAATTTTAATAGCTCTGTTAGCTTTCTATATTATTAGTTTGGTAAATATGCTGAATTTTTATTATGGTATCTTGAAAATAATATATATTATTTTGTATAAAATTCTCATAAAATAAAAGAGGATTCTTAATTTTAAATAAATTTTTTCCATTTATTTTTAATAATAACTCGGTTTACTATTAAACTTATAAATTCAATGACCGTAAAATTCATTTTTTGTAAGTTATGAGAAATGAGAATGTGGATTCGATGGCTCAAAATAAATTAGTAAAAATCGAAGACTTTTTTTTAATAAAAATAAAATTCACATTTTTGACGCCCCATGAATTCATAATATCATGTTTTAATTATTTTAAATAAATTTTAAATTTTATTATTTCATTTATGGGATGATGATCAAAAATTTGAATGCTAATGATTTTAAAAATTTATATCAATGATAAACTTTTGAATTTTCTTTTGGTTTTTGCGGTTCTGACTAAATTTGCAGCAGTGAATTATAGTTCAGATTATTCATGAAAAAAAAAAAAACTTCAATTGAAAAGAAGAAAAATTTCTAACAAATTTGGTGATATAGAAATGGGCCAACTCCATTGAGTTTCAAATTTAGAGAATATGAGGAATTTCTAATACCTCTAAGAAATAGGCATTTATCATTTTAAATATAAATATAATATGTAGAAAGTGGCAATAAATCATTTCAATCATCAACAAAAATATGCATGTTAGGATCATAAATTTCTAATCAAATCATGTACAAACTTCGATGCAAATAAATTCCCGCATCTCAAAGCACTCGAGGTGGGTCGATATCTTCGGAAAAAAAAAGGATCCAAATTTTACAAATTTATAGTCAAAATTTCCCTTTGTGATGATTTTAACATCAAAATTTCTAATATGAATCATGATGCTACTGATCTAATCATAGATTCTAAGGATACCAATAAATAGCGAGGCGAACCGGGTCACAATCGGATTTCCGGATTGACCTGAACCCAATCCGAATTTTTAAACGGGTTCAAAAATAGTTACCGAACCCGACCTGTTTTGAAATTAGGTTGACCCGAACCTAAAAACATCAGGTCGGGTTCAAATCGTGTTTTCGTATCGTGTCAATTATTGACACCCCTAAATACCACCGAAATTTTTAGATTCCTTGACTAATTTTGACAAACTAAAGTTTACATCTCCCATACCCATTTGAATTTACAGGGAACCTATATAACAAAAACCTTTACTGTTTATTTATCATGATATTCCTCCTCACTAAGCAAATTTTATATTGTTTTCAAGTACTCTATAAACATATATATGCTTCTACTCAACAATTTAATAGAAACCAATTTCATCTATTCTCTATTACATTCTGAAGCAAAAAAAATTCAGATTTCTTCCAGATATGCTATGATTTTGAATGCCTGCTAGAGAGAAAAGGAATAAACCACTAAGAAAGCTCGAATACAACATGCTGTATTGATACCAAGGCTTCGTTTGGGATGACTTTCTTATTGCTTCTTAAAGCAGCTTTTTAGCACAAAAATTTTAATTTTTCTACTAAAAAGTTGCTTTAAGAAGTAGTAAAAAAACTGTCCCAAACGAAAGCCTAAGTGCAAGAAATTGCAAGGTGAAACATGAATGACAAGCATAGATCCCTCTGATTAAAGCAACACTCCGGAAATACATGAGAAAGTTGAAATCCAGCAAAAACTTGTTTGTAATAAAGGCTTGGTTTCTATTATGGGCTTGCCTTCCTCTTCCAGCATCTGTACTAAAACAATAAAATTAAAGAGTGATGTACAACATGTTTCCATGAAATTGAAAATAATTGGATAGCAAAATTGCTGATAAGGAAAATAAACGGTCATGTTCTCATGTGAGGTGCAAAGAAAAACTTGGCATCCTTTCTTCTTGATTCAGTTTAAGATTTTGGATTTGTTATGAGCGCACTTATGCCGAACGGACTCTCAGTAGTGAAGCAAATATGAAGCATATATATGGAATAACAAAAAAACCAAACGCCATGAAAAGACACTAACGCTTCATTTGGGACGGCTTTTTTCTTGTTTCTTAAAGCAGCTTTTTAGTAGAAAAAAATTAGATTTTTACTAGAAAGCTGCTTTAAGAAGCAGTAAGAAAGCTATCCCAAATGAAACCTAAGTATTATGTTGTTTGGCGAAAATAACCTTCCGTCCAAGAGGAAAAGAAAAGGAAGTGATTCAGAGAAGCCGTATAGGTTTGTGAATGAAGCAAGAAACTAGAAAACACTTTTCTAAACCCAAGTAAATCTAATCTCACTAGGAGAAAGAAATCCAAATCTCTCAAAAATAAAAAACAATCAAAAAGAAGAAATTAAACAAAAAAAGATTTAACTACTACAAAATAATCACTACTTGAATGCACCACGAAAAGATACCTTCACTAGTGTGTATAAACTCACCGTATTTCTAACACTACGGTGCTTTCATTGTCTAGATGACACTACACCATCACATAAAAAACTTTTTGTTTCTTCTTCTTTCTGTTTTTCCTCTCCTCTTGATTTCTACTTTGTTTCTCTCCGTGTTCTTCTCTCCAAAAAATGCAAAAACAATTGGATGCCACTTTCTCTTCTTATTTATGTTCAACTAAAAATTAGTACAGTTAAATATGGACAAGCACGCCATTGGCATACCCATCTTATCCAATATTCACAAGATTTTAAGGGAATGATTTAAATTTAAATATGGTGAAATTTTTTATTGACGATCAAACTACCTAATAACACGATCTATCAAAAAAAAAACCACATGAGTAAAGGTAATTTTAATTTCGTGCATATGAATTTCATTCTATTTGATTTTAGCGAAAAAAAATACTATTAGATCGGATTGCAGGGGGCATGTGCATAGGTTCAAAGAGGTCCCAATAAGTAATATAAAATTCTATCGTAATGAAATTGATAGACTGAAAGACGCCCAAGTTTAAAAATATAATTATTTGATTTTCTGCTTCTATAAATTTTAATTTTTATGGCAAATTTTAGTGTAGTTCACAATCCCTATAGGTTATATGAACCCCTTAAAACAACTAATGTTTCTTGATTGCATTATTTTAGGCAATTTGATGGTCAATCACAGGTAGATGTCGAGTTAATGGATCCATCTTTCAAGTTAAGTGGATGGTAGAGGCAAGGCAAACATCGATTTGAAAGACTATCATTGTTCGAGAATTGTTCTCTGAAATCATAGGTTGGCTTACGCTGTAGAGTCCATTATTAATCAAAATATTAATTGTATAATTGCTCGTTACTTGCAATAATTTAACTATAAATCATGGGCTTCACTCTATCTACTTCAAGTTGAACTCCAACATTCAAACTTACTATCATATGGCTTCAATTGAACGATTTTACATATGTGCCATGCATGCATGCTTGAATTTTTCATTAATCTTATGTTATCGCACGCATAAAATAAGCATATGAAGAGGCTCTTGATCGAATAGAGAGTATATTCCAACTATTTTATGACATTGATGGAAGAGATACAAGTGAGATGATACTTGCTATCGCCCAAAATTATGAAATATGGTGCAATATGCCACTTTCAGAGAGCTCGCAAATAAGACTAGAGGTGACACAGAGCAAGTCTAATATGCTACGCAGTAAAGCCCGTAGAATGCAGGTTCATTAATGTCAGGTCCAATTTTACTCTCATGCATCACGGTTATCAATGGTCATCATTTAATATTGAATGGGATCAACAATTAGGTGCTTAAATCATTCCACAGTATATCTCATTTCCTTCCTACGTAGTAGGAACCTCTGTTGAATCCAACTTGCTGCAGCAAGGAAGATCACTTCCTCTTCTTGAAGTTGAGAGAGGAGGGAGAGAAGAGAAGGAAAGAGGGAGGCAGCCAAACGAAAATCTTTAATTTCTAAACCATATCATCCTAATACAATCTATAGCATTTTTATAGACTCCTAATGCTATACAAAAGCAACACACAAGGCTTTACAAGCCTAAATAACCTAAATCTAGGAATAAAAGCCAACAAATCTCCACCTTGGTCCTAAATTTACATAGCAAAGCAATCAACTGTTCTTAAAGAACAACCAAGAACAATAAGTCGGGTAAACCAGGGGACGTAACCCCAAAAAATCGAGAGCACAGTAGGTATCATCTCACATGCACTTCAACGTTCAGCTAAGGATTAAGATCTTACGGCACAAGCAGCTTCCAACTGGCAATCAAACATATTGCCTTTCATAGAGATGAAGAACAAATCAGAGTAGAACAAGAAGGGTACATCTTCTTCACACAGAAATCCCAAGATTTCACCTCCTCAAATCTTCTCTCTTCCTCAAGAAGCCCAAAAAACAGCCGTTAATAAAGACCTAATCCTTTCTCGCTCTCACACCTGAACAAATCTTCTTCGGTCGTCACAAACCCACGCCCTGCACTGCCGCGTCCGGCCAGCGCCCTGCATGTCTTCCGCCAGTGCCATCCACTCCCGGCACAGCTCAAGAACATGTCGACTCCACCTTGAATGTCTTCAGGACTCCACCTGAAGTCCAACACTCCACCTTAAAGATACAAACCAATCTTTTGCCTCTCGTGACTCCAACGCGATCACAAGCTCTGGCTAGCTTGCTTAGCTCGTGCAACGAGCTCCCGTTAGGCTCTCTCGCCTACGGCTGCACACCACCTTGCTCCTCATGAGAGAACTTGCGAGCTACTCCCGCTTCACCTCCAAGCCGCTCCCTTTGTCGAATCCTGCAAACTAGTCTTTGCTCTGGACGTCGTGCCCAGCCTCTAGTCCACCTAGCACACACACGAGCAAGGCCCGACTCCCGCGTGCCTTGCTTTCTCCGGCCGGCAGTGCGTACCAGCTTTGCCACACACGCCCTCCGGCACTGCCTGCTGAAGTAGCCTCCCGCTAGCTTCTGCAAGCCCGATACCTGCACCTGCCGGACTGGCTCCTGCCTCCATCAGCAGCTTCAAGCGCCCAGCCCTCCGGCACTGCCTGCTGAAGTGCGTGAGTCGGAGCCGAGTCTCGAAGCAGGTCGAGCTAATGGCTGGGCTTCCGAGTGCGGAAGTCTAGATCTGGGCAAGGGAGATTGCCCGGGCTGGGCGCTTGACTGCTGACGGAGGCAGAAGCCAGTCCAGCAGGTGCAGGCATCGGGCTTAAAGAAGCTAGCGGGAGGCTACTTAAGCAGACAGTGCTGGAGGGCGCGTGTGGCCGCGCTTGTACGCTCTGCACGATCTGAGCAAGCTAGCCAGAGCTTGTGATCGTGCTGGAGTCATGAGGCAAAAGATCGGTTTGGATCTTTAAGGTGGAGTGTTGGACTTCAGGTGGAGTCCAGAAGACATTCAAGGTGGAGTCGACATGTTCTTGAGCTGTACCGGGAGTGGATGGCACTAGCGGAAGACACGCAGGGCACTGGCCGGACACGGCAGAGCAGGGCGTGGGTTTGTGATGACCGAAGAAGATTTGTTCGGGTGTGAAAGCGAGAAAGGATTAGGTCTTTGTTAACGGCTGTTTTTGGGCTTCTTGAGGAAGAGAGAAGATTTGAGGAGGTGAAATCTTGGGATTTCTGTGTGAAGAAGATGTACCCTTCTTGTTCTCCTCTGGTTTGTTCTTCATCTCTGTGAAAGGCAATAGGTTTGATTTCCTGTTGGAAGCTGCTTGTGCCGTAAGATCTTAATCCTTAGCTGAACGCTGAAGTGCATGTGAGATGATACCTGCTGTGCTCTCGGTTTTTTGGGGTTACGTCCCCTAGTTTACCCGATTTATTGTTCTTGGTTGTTCTTTAAGAACAGTTGATTACTTTGTTATGTAAATCTAGAACCAAGGTGGAAATTTGTTGGTTTTTGTTCCTAGATTTAGGTTATTTAGGCTTCTAAAGTCTTGTGTGTTGCTTTTGTATAGCATTAGGAGTCTATAAAAGGCTATAGATTGTATTAGGATGATATGGTTTAGAAATTAAAGATTTTTGTTTGGCTGCCTCCCTCTTTCCTTCTCTTCTCTCCCTCCTCCTCCTCTCTCAACTTCAAGAAGAGAAAGTGATCTTCCTCTCTGCAGCAAGTTGGATTCAACAAACTTAATTAACAAACATAGTCGGAGCAACCGAGCAATTAAAGGGCTTTTTCATCTATCTCTACTTTCAATTTTTTACTGAAAGTCTTAGGCTTATCTGAACACTCTAAGGAGTGCCTTCACAATATCAGATTAAGATGCCTCAAACCATGAATTTCCAAAGCGTGAAATACTTTGAGCCAATAAACTACTCAGTTTTATACTTTATCACCACCATTTTTTTTTATACTTTATCGCCACCATATTCAATATTAGATACTAATACTAGGTATTAGAAAAACACCTAACTTTTATGTAGAAATATCTACCAAGAATGAATACAATGAATATAAATTAATAACAAAGAGACTAAGCACTACAAGAAGATATCAAGATTTATATGATTCAGCAACATTAAGCCTAAACCCACAATAGAGGAGAAATGATTCAATCACTAATCACCATAAGGATGAGAATAAACCTGCAAGAGAAGAAAACAGAGAATGCAGTATAAAAGGATTTCATTCTTCCATGGAAAAACCTTGTCATCTATACAGAGTTCAAGAGCCCTTTAAATAGGCTTCCTTAGACAAAGGGAAGACAGGTCGTTAGCGGTGTCAGCAAGCCGTTGTTGGCAGAGCAGCTTTCTGCTGTGGCAGATGAACGCGGCTGCTGAGCCGAGAGGTGGAATATGAACAGTAATTATGATTACTGTTGGTATAGGATAAGGTGTGCTAACAGCCCCCCTCAAATGAACTATCTGGTGAGCAGATAGTTAATTTGTCACGTAGAGAAGAGAATCGAGTAGCTAACAAGGGCTTAGTAAGAATGTCAGCCGGCTGATCGAGGGAGCTAATGTGGGAGACGTCAATTGTGTTATGACGAATGTGATCACTGATAAAATGGTGATCAATCTCTATATGTTTAGTTCTCGCATGAAACACTGGATTGTGTGCAAGAGCCAGTGTAGAGATGTTGTCACAGAAAATTGGAGTTGCTTGCGACTGAGGAACGTGAAAGTCAGCCATAAGACAACGAAGCCAGAGGACGTCGGAGGTGGCCGCAGCAAGCGATCTGTACTCGGCTTCGGTAGAGGATCGTGCCACAGTGGCTTGTTTCTTTACACTCCACGAGATAAGATTTGAGCCGAGATAGGGGCAAAAGCCCAAGACAGATTTTCTGTCATCCTTGTCTGTGGCCCAATCTGCATCACTGTATGTCGTGAGTTTGAGTTCACCTTTAGACAGAGGGAGACCATAATGTAGTGTTCCCTTGATGTACCGAAGAAGTCGTTTAAGAAGCTGATGATCATAGGTTGTGGGAGCATGCATATGTTGACAAATAACATTGGTTGCAAATGCAATATCAGGTCTGGTTACTGTAAGATATTGGAGGGAACCAGCCAACTGCCTGTAAAGCGTAGGAATGTCGTAAGGAGGGCTGGTAGTGCGAGTGCGCAAATGATTTAGAGGAATTGGCGTGGCAACTGGTTTGCAGGATTCAAAGCCGAAGGAGCGTAAAATTTCTCGGGCATAATGAGATTGATGCAGAAATAAACTAGTTGGAGTGGGATCGATTTGAATGCCAAGAAAGAGCTTGGCGGTGCCTAGTTTTTTCAGAGCAAGATGATTAAGTTGTAGCTTACGGTTGGGAGGAGTGTGGAGTGGGTAGATGCCATCTTGGTTATGTCCACGGAGAAGGACTTGGTTATCCCGAAGGTCCTTGATAACAAATCCATTTGTATCAAAAGAAATAGAACAGTCGTTATCAGTGGTGAGACGAGAAATAGAAAGTAGATTGTGTGTGAGGGATGGTACGTGAAGAAGATGATTAAGTTGAAGCTTACGGTTGGTATTGGGGAGAGGAAGTATACCAGCGCCATTGTGAAGGATGGGAAGAGTCGAACCACTTGCTGTAGAGACTGTATCAGTACCTTGATATGGTGCTGATAGTTGCAGGTTGGAGAGATCAGAGGTCAAGTGAGTAGTCGCTCCCGAATCCAGGACCCAATCGGTGGTGGAGTTTGGTTGATTTTGAGTAAGAAGAGCTCTGGTATTCGATGGAGATGGCGTCACATAATTAGAGTTATATCTATGCCAACAAACTGCAGCAATGTGACCTGCTTTCCCACAGATTTGGCATTGAGGTCTGTCAGTGTTCTTTGCACTGGAAGGAGACGACCTTACGGGACTGGAAGTTGTACTGAAGGACGCTCCATGTCCCCTGTTGTTTCTGCTGTTGAAAGACCGGCCACGACGCCTGGTGGTACACAAGGCTTGATGATCGGAGTTGGTATTGCCATCCAACTGTATTTCCGATTGAAGATTGATTTCTTCGCTGGAGAGTAAGGAGTATAAGACTCCAGGGTGATGGGTTGAGGTGATATTCGGATTGCTGCCTTGAACGGATTATACGAAGGAGGAAGACCCTTCAGGGTGTAGAGGATGATATCCTCTGTGTCAAGCTGGCATCTAGCGGCAGCTATATTGTCCACGAGAGATTTTATCTTGGTGAGATACTGTGAGACAGTTTGATCTCTCATTTGAGTGTTATGGAGCTCACTTTTCAACTGAATGACCCTCGACCGATTCGTCGGTTGGAGACGAAGTTCTAGAGCAACCCAGATTTCATTAGAAGTCTTAAGATGAAGAATGTGAGGTAGTACGGAGGCAGAAATGGTAGAATACAATGCAGAGATGAGGTTCTGGTCTATCAGTTTCCATAACTTGTGATCTTCAGCTGAGGTTTCAGGTGGGCAAATTGTCTCCGGTAATATACCCGTCAAAACCATTGGCGCAGAAGGCTTGGAAGATCTGTATACGCCAAATGGCGTAATTATCTATAGTAAGTTGAGAGTGAACTATAGATTTGAGATTCGACATCAGAAATTTGAGTGGTGCCGGTATCGTTGCCGTCGTCATGGCGGCAGACAGAGAGGAAGGTGACGGAGATTGAGAGACTGAAGTTTGTTCAGTCATTTCTGTGAAGACGAAGATGAGTCACCTAGAAGCTGAGCTCTGATACCATGAGAATAAACCTGCAAGAGAAGAAAACAGAGAATGCAGTATAAAAGGATTTCATTCTTCCATGGAAAAACCTTGTCATCTATACAGAGTTCAAGAGCCCTTTAAATAGGCTTCCTTAGACAAAGGGAAGACATGTCGTTAGCGGTGTTAGCAAGCCGTTGTTGGCAGAGCAGCTTTCTGCTATGGCAGATGAACACGGCTGCTAAGCCGAGAGGTGGAAGATGAACAGTAATTATGATTACTGTTGGTAAGGTGTGCTAACAAAGGAAACCACTAAGGTGCCAATAAAATCGAGCAAAAATAATAATCTACCTCAAATCTCATTTGATGAAAAAGAAATCTTTCAAATCAACCAAAAGAAGAAAAAAATAATTTTAACTACTGTAAATTCTCTACTTGACGTTCTATAAAAGGGTACATCTCGTATGTCAATGGAACCATCACAATATCTCTATCATGCTCTGACCATAGCAAGATAATACTAAATGACTGAATAAATTTGTTTTCCTTCTTTTCATTTCTTTCTCTCCCTCAAATTCTTTGTTTTTTTTTTTTTTTTTGACTGCCCGGCTGCTACTTTCACTTCCAGTTTGTCCACATCTTATTTCTCTCCAACACAAAATCAGTAAACCTAAAGCTCAAACCCCGCAAGCATATACACAAGCACCCAATCGATCTCCCCATCTTATACCTTATTTATAAGGATTTAAGGCGATAATTATAAATCTGAATCAGGTTCACGTTTGTGCTAAGAGCTATTCAAAATAATAAATTCTTCAAGAGACTTCTAAATCTAACTTCGAAGAAAAAAATAAAAGTAAAATTATATTTATCACAAAATCATTCATTCTAAATCTTGTGCTTTTTCTTTAAAAAAAAATTGAGTCAAAATTCTAAAAAGAGTTTGTTTAAGTATGATTTGCCAGGTTTTGAAAAAAAAATATCCTTTTGTATTATTTTTTTCCATATTCAGGTTCAACTACAACTGAAAAACCAATATGGCAATATCATGGAGTTTTTGGAAAATACCTGGCATCAGTTTTAAGAGGAGGGGGAGGAACCTCCTGCCCCTCTATTCCCACTGCAGCAGTAAAAGTGTGGCAGTTTAACTCGGCCGCAACTCCTATAAAGAGTTACAATTTCCACTAATAAAATAGTTTAAAATGTCAAATTAAAAAAAGAATATAAGAAGATCTTCCACTGTTTCTCATTACACGCAGAGAAAAGGCAATATTAAATGACATCCGTGGCAGTGCATTTATCATGCATTGATGAGGTGCCTCAGCCTATTGTAGCTAACAAATTTGGTAAAGTATCCGTACCGGTTCTGAAGAACATTAAACCAGCACTTTATTTCCTGTTGCTAATTTATTGCCACAATGAACAATGAGCATCAAGGTGGGTGTAAACATAAACACTGGGAGCTTCAGAGACAAGATTAGAACGGAATTCCCACAGCTTAATTAAAGATAATCAACATTAGCCTAATTATTCACTTATCCATATTGTGTGCTACATGAATGTTAAATCTTTTATGCATAAATCATTTTGAACAACTTCTATCTATATTCTTAAGGTTTATCTATTTTCTTTTTAATCCCATAATACTAATTTTATCTAGACATCTAATGATTCATTTTCTGTCATTCATTATGCATGTTGAAATCATCTAAATTTATTTTCAGCTATATTATCTCTAATATATGTCACTCCAATCATTCGTCCAATATAGTAATGTACTGATTTATCTATCCTAATTTTTACAACATACTCAACTTAGCTATCAACAACTTGTTCATTGCCCAAACTTAAATATATACACATTAACTTAATTACAAATTTATTAAATTTACCTTTAAAATATTTATGATAACCTCTTATCAGATGACATTCATGAGGCAAAAGACATAAATTTTTATTCTTGATATACTAAACTGCTATATAAATTTGCCTAACATACATGAAAATAAATCTCACAAATTTTGCCAAAAAGGTGAAGCTTATGACAAGAATTATGGATAATTGGTAGGTGTTGGGGGAGTAAAACCATGCAGTGAAACAACAAGAAATAGAAAATGCAGCGGAAAAGAAAGAACACCAGAATTTAACATCGAAAAATTTGAAATCGAAAAAAAACTACGGAGCCACAATATACCAAGAAAACTACTATAAAAAATAGGAAAAATAGTGCAAATTTCTTGTCTCTCTCACTCTCTCCTTATTTCTCTTCACCCTTGCATCGTTCTCATACTAGAATATACAAAGAGATACAATGCAACCACCAAGGGATGCAACCTTTAATGAAAAATGAGAAATAAAACTTTCTAGCAAGCAACGCAGCGCTACAACGCCAAGTTGCAGCACCCCGGTGCTCTTACTCTCTAATTTCAGCTTGCACAACAATGTCGCAGCGCTGAGTCCAAAACGCCGCAACACCGTAGCGCCTGGGTTTGTAGCTATCTTTTTCCACCAAATTATGCAATATCGGGGAGCTCATGCGCACAACGTCGTGGGATGTACGAAAAAAAAAAATTATCGGGTGCAAAGAAGCAAGGGCCCTGCACCCCCTCAACAAGCTCAATAGACTGAATTGAGGATCAAGGCATCAATAAAACCCAAGGCATCAAACACAATCAAATTCCACACAGAACTAACAATAAGAATCATTATCAACCAAAAGTAATTATGAATGACTTAAGAGCTAATATATAAAAAGTTCATAAAATCTTATGCTCCTACTTCTCCTTTTGTTGATCCCAAATTAAAAAACATAAATAATCAAAATGTAAAATAATTGCAAGATATTTCACATTCCTGAATTTTCATTAACCTTAAAATAACCATAAAATATTTGTTACGCATCTATACTTATGCAAGCATAAGTCTAATCCAAATTATGCAAAGTATACCAAAATACAAAAATTTTGAAAGTAAATCCCTTAAACTAGTCAAAAACTTCAAAAATTAGGAAAGAATAACTATAAGCTGAGCTGAAAAAAGTGAGATAAAGATCAATTCACTGACCAAGGGCTTAATGAGATAAAGATGATTACTTTAATAATTGCTGGCAACCTTCCTCGCCAACAAGGTTAAAAGACAACCACAAGGCAAGCCCCCACTCAACAATCTTCATGCTTAAGCTAGTGTTTTATAGTTTCTCCAATTTGATGAGCCTCCACAGTACAAACTAAATAGAACTTGCCAATAGCCAAAAAATCTATGAATGAACTTAAGTCATAGACCCAATAGGGCCTCCAGTTCGGTTTTAAGACCCTTTAACCCCTACCAATACGCACCATTAATACAAATCATGATCAAAGGGTTTCATTAACAAATAATCACCCTCAGGCCTCAATTATAGAGATAAATAAAGAAAATCAAAACTCACTCTCCCCTATAATAGGTTTAGTTATTACAAATCTTAACCAGGGGGTTACCAAAATTCATCAATGTTTTCAAATATAAAAATAAATATATTTCGAGCCAATTCCCCTTTAATAGGTATGATTACCATAAATCGAAATCGAAGGAGATCATCCTCATAAAAACGCCGAATTAAATTATAAGACAAATCTCCAAGGGGCTTGTATCCCCACTGACGGGCACAAATCAAGAAAATCTCAATCGAGGAACTCCGTCTAAAGTCACGTCATAAAGCAATTGAAGGTTAATCCACTTATAATGAATACAATGTCGTGAAGAATACCCAAATAAACAACAACACAAATAACAACATATACTTATCATAAAAAATAAACTTTCCGAAATACTAGCGAGCACAAAGATTTATAATTTTGTTGGTTTTGAATTGGGGCATTATACCCATCAAACAAAAAGTTCAGCCAATAAATATAGCTATTGGCTCTAATATGCCATTAAAGGCGTACACATAAGTTGCACAATAAAAAAACTTTGATTAGAATAATCAGAAGGGATACTTGACCACATTTCTTTAAGAATTTTAATGTTCAATGTGAAACTTGGAGATTTATTTATAAGAAAGAAGAGGAAATGTTGTTTCTACTAAGAAGTCTTTCGATAAAGGTGCACCAAGTATCATGCACCTTTCCTTTCAATTATAATTTTATTCCTTCTTTCAGCTATTACATTTTGTTGTGGAGTATTTTTCACTATCTAGTGCCTAAAAATACCTTCATTTATGTAGCAATCTTCAAAGGAATCTGAACAAATTCCAAAACCATTATGCTTTCTAGTTCTTGTAATTTATTTCTTTATATGCCTTTTAAAAGTGTTTCCCACTATCTAAAATGATGAAAACTTCAATATTTATGCATTACAAAGAATATCCACATCTTTTTAGAGTAATCATTAATGAAGTCAGCAAGTATCAAACGCTACTGTTCAAGGGAACAAATGAGGGACCTCGCATATTTGAATGGATATAATTCAAAGTTCCTTCTGTTATATGGATGCCAGTAACAAAGCTAATTCTCTTTTGCTTTCCAAGTACACAATATTTTCCAAAATCTAATTTGCATGTGCTCTAAAGGCATTTTGCACTCATATGGTCCAATAGCATGTGCCAAAGTTTGGGTGTTACAAGATTTCGCTACTTAGTAAGGAGTCCCTATGATTGCACTATCCTGTTAATGCAAATAAATTTTTCTTTCATCATCACCATATAATGTAAACCATAACTCGGCCTTCAAATGAGTACTTATAACCTTTTGCATCTAAAGTTCTCAAATAGATAAGGTTATTCTTCAAGGATAATATGCCTTATTTCAGTTGACTCTTGAATTAATCCATTATGCATCTTAATTTAAGTTGTTCCTATAAATACAATTTTATAGGGTGCATTGTATCCTAGCAAAAACTCCACTTTGAGCTGGTATATAGGTATATAACCAGTCCTTATTATAAAATATAAGATAGGAAGTTAAAGACATGTTGAATGCATAACCCAATCACAAAGAAAACCGTCATCATTTGAGGTGGCAAGTACATAATGTAAGTTATTATTTCCATATCCAAAAACAACAGCTCAAGCTGACTTACTGTGCCATTTGTACAAAGATGCATATAACTCTCTCTCGTTTTTCTTTTTAAATTTCGAACAATCATCAATGACATGTTCTTTATTCCTACTGTATTTGCAAAAAATATTTTTACACTTGAGTTTGGGAGATCAATTGAATTAAGCAAAAGAATTTGCCTTTACTAAATAGTAAAGTTTCTCTTAGATGCATAAATGACAGTGGCAATGAACTAAGGAGTATAAGAGCTTTGCCATCTTCATCTCAATAGACCCTAAATCTATACTATCATATATGAAGTCATCTGTATGAAGTTTAAAGAGATGACAATTTATCCCACAGATTCTTTGTGATTTTCCCCACTCATCTCTAATCATCTGTCACGGTGATTAGCTTTACCTCCTCAATCTCTTCAATCCTATCTGATTCCCAAATATTAAAGCTACCAGTGCGTCAATTTTCTCAGTGACCATAGATGGTGTAAGGCCATCACAACTTATGAGAAGCTACAGAAGCCAATACACGAGCACATGAAAGGCACCGACAAAGGTATGCAAGGAGTAAGAGAAAATTAAATCACACTCAAATCAGTAAATATTATCAATCATAATATAATTTTGAAGTTAATTAAGATTTTCCATTTGCATATCCCCTACAAACACACAATTATGTGAAGGAAGACAAAATAATTCCAGAATTAAAGAACAGAACTGGATTGCACGTCTCTGATACCATATGATAAATGAAATTAGTGAATCAAAACAAAGGTTCGGGAAGTTAAATACGAATGTAAGAGATATTTATGTGGCTCAGCTCACAAAGGAGCCTACAGCCACTGGAGAAGGGAACAACAGCAGGGATTTTAGTTATTTTCATGTTATGTATGTAATTGCCCCAGACTAAACCCACTTACACTTCAATGTTGTAATGTTTTAATTCATAAGCAAATTACTGGAAAAAAACACTCCAAATAACAAATCAGCTGAATTCTTACTTGCACCGAACAATCACTGGGACTGGTTTCAGAGCCCTTGGACCATTCCTCAGCCCTTTCTTATGAGGCGAAACCTGAAATACAAAATCAAAATCAACAAAAAGTAAACAAAAAATTATAAGCATCTATCAAATTCTAAGCCAAAGAACTTCGAAAAACGGATTTTTCTGGTTAGCAGATTCATAGATTGAAAGCCATGGTTCAATACCATGAAATGCTGTAAGAAGAGCACATATAAAACGACGATCGACTACGAAGAAAATAATTTCGGCCCTTCTAAGTCGTTAGAGCGATAACACAAAATCTCTATATGTAAGATAAAGAAAAAGTAATAGCAGTATATGAATAAACATGTACCTTCTTCTTAGGTACGGCCATGAGCTCCATGGAAGACCCGAACGAGAAGCGGGGCACTGAAGGAACGGTTGTTGAGGAGCTCTCTGGAAGGAATGCCCGAGAAAAAACTAGACCGAGATTCGAAGAAGCTCGCCGAAGCAGCGACGCCGCCATGGACTCCTATTGCTTGCTGGGAGAAGAAATGAAAGAAAAAGCCCTTCATTACTGTTTGGAATATTTTTAAGAGAGATTTACATATATACCACTTTATACTATTTTATTTATATATTTAACACCTAAAATTTTAACATTACATACATGCCATCCATAGTTTATTTTCATATCAAATATGAAATATATAAGTGGTAGCAATGAAATATGAGTGGTATATTTGATATTAAAATAATATAGGGTGGTATGTATGTAATATTAAAATTTTAATTGTTAGATATGTAAATAGGATGTTATAAAGTAGTATGTATGTAAATTTCCCTATTTTTAAATGTAGCGCTGACTATATTAATTCTATATAATACTTATCTTAAATATGAGAAATTAGCCATTTCTTACTCTCCTTCACAAATTAGTTTCTTAGTACAAAAATTTTTAATTATAAATTTTTATACCATAAAATTACCTTAGAAAGTAATAAGAACAATGTCTCAAATGGAGTCTTAGGTTGCGTTTGTTGAGGCTCATTGAATCAACTAAGCTTACAAACAGAGAACTAAACAAAGGAAGAAGATGAACAATGATCATTATATTAAAACCATATGTGTTGATACACTATCTATACTATTAATTACTAAACTAGCCCTGTTAGTTATATAAAGTGCCCAATTGGCAAGCAGTAGTGGCGACAAGCACAATTTGTTAGCCGACATATGGTTTAGTTGTTGTAGGAATGTAGTGGAGTTGTAATACTCTTTTCACTGTCCCTCAAGTTGATGGTCGGGATGACCAGTAACTTGGTTCGTAGATCAACCATCCTGGAAAAGGAGAGAGGCTTGATAAAGATGTCGTAATTTGATCGATTGTAGAGACATGTTGGATTGTAATATGTTTGGCGTGAATACAATCTCGAATAAAATGGTGATCAATCTCAATGCGCTTGGTGCGTGCGTGAAAGATAGGATTGCACGCGATTGACATGGCGGAGATGTTGTCGCAGAAGAGCAGAGTCATTTGCAGTAACATAAAAAAGTCTTCACAGAGACGATGCGTCGAGATGATGTCCGCAGTGGTAGCTGCAAGAGAACGATACTCTGTTTGAGTTGAGGATTTGGCAATAGTGGATTGTTTCTTGACTGACCAAGTTAGAAGCGTCATTCCTAAGAAGATGAAATAGCCAGTTGTGGATTTGCGTTCTAGCTGATCACTAGCCCAATCGAAGTCTGAGTATGCAGATATCTGAAGGTCCATTTTTTTGGGGAAAAAAGACCATAATTGAGAGTTCCTTTCAAGTATTTGAGGAAACGTTTAAGCAACTGAAAATGGAGAAGGAGCGGGTGATGCATATGTTGGCAAAGGTTGTTGACAACGAATGCAATATAGGGGCATATAGATGTAATGTATTGTAATGATCCGACAAGCTTGCAAAATAACTCTGGTTGACTAAATGGTTGTTGGAGATTGGAATCAGAATCAAGTTTGGGTGGTAGCGGCGTAAGTAACGGTTTGTAGTTGGTCATGACTGTGGTATGGAGTAATTCAGTGATATAAGATTGCTGCGATAGGTGGAACCCAATAACAGTGTGTGTGAATTTTGTTCCAAGAAATTTGGAGAGAGAGAGGGTCAAGGTCGTGAGTTTGAAATTTATATTGAAGGTTAGCAATTAAGGTGGAGATAAAGGTGGGATCACTGTCAGTGACGAGAATATCATCAACATAGATGTATATCTGAAGGCGATATTTTTGGAGATGAAAAACGATGGATCTGGGTAGCTGAAGGTGAAATTTTCATTAGTGAGGTAAGTGGAAAACGTTGCAAATCAAAGACGAGATGCTTGTTTAAGATCATATATGGCCTTATGCAGCAAACAAACATGATTGGGATGATTTGGATCCTCAAAGCCCTGCGGTTGGGTCATATAGATAGTTTCATCAATAGCACCAAGGAGGAATGCATTCATAACATCGAGTTGGTGGATTTGTTAATCATAATGCAGAGCGACAAGTAGAAATAAATGGATTGTGGTTAGTTTAACAACAAGACTAAAAGTCTCATGGTAATTAATATTGTATTATTTCTTAAATCCCTGACTGACGAGATGAGCTTTATAGCTGATTATGGAACCATCAGCAAGGTTTTTGAGTCTGTAGATCCATTTGCAGCCTATGATTTGTTGATTTATTGGTGGAGGTACTAAAGACCATGTACCTTGGGCTTGAAGGGCATGAAACTCGATAGACATGGCCTAACAACAATTCACATCTTTGTGGGCAGCAATAAAGCAAGTTGATATGATTTGCAAGGTATGTGAGAGATCCATAAGCACCTGTAGTTTGAGTGAGCCTATATACAGCATGGTGACTATAGGATGGTTCAATTTTGCCACGAGAGGCAAGGGAGTAGTTGTGGATGAGGAAGTAGAAGTTGTTTTAGAGGTGGTTGATGGTTCATTGGATAGCATGGAGGGAGAATTATGATATGTGGAAGGTAGGAAAGGAGAGGAGGAGATGTCAGAGCTGGGTGGTGGGACAATGGTTGTATTTATGGTAGAGTTTGTGGAATGAGGGAAGTAGGGTGGATCAGTGTGAAGAAGTTGGGATATAATGGTATTGTTGGTGATAGGAAGAGAGGGAAAAGTTGAATCATCAAAGAAAACATGTCGAGAGATAATGAGCTTGCAGTGGCGGGATTATATCATTTGAAACAATTTTGGTTTGTAGTGTATCCAAGGAAAAAATAGGGAACAGAACGGGGTGCGAGTTTATGGGGAGCTAAGGGTCTGGTCCATGGAAAGCAGCTACATCCAAATGAACGAAATAGTGTATAGTATGGCGGAATATGATATAGCAACTGATAAGGTAATGTAGAGGAAGTATTAGCAGAAGTTAGTCGGTTAATGAGATAGGCTGCAGTGGATGGCTTCAGACCAAAACTGCGAAGGAAGATGAGCATCGATTAGCAGAATTCAGACAATATCTAGCAAGTGGTGATTTTTATGTTCAGCAACACCATTTTGTTGTGGTGTATATGGACATGTAAATTGATGTGTTATGCCACGTTTGGATATGAGGGAGCATAAGGAGTTGTTCAAAAATTATCCGCTGTTGTTAGTGTGAAGAGTGAGAACATGTAATTTTAAATGTTTTTCAATAACATTTGTAAAATGAATAAGGTAGCGGGAAACTTCATATTTTTGTTTGAGCATGTATAGCTATGTGTATTTAGTACAATCATCAACGAGCATCAGAAAATAGCAAAAACCATCATAGGATAATACGAGAGAAGTACCCCAAACGTCAGCATGGATTAATTCTAAAGGAGCGGTTGATACATGATGAGAGGGGGAGAAAGGTAACCTATGACTTTTTTGCAAGAGCGTAGTAATTACATATAAAATGAAAAAATGAAATACATAAAGAGGGAAAAGCTTTAGATATAGCAGCGAGTGTTTTGAAGTTTGGGTGACCCAAACGATGATGCCATGTATGAGCCGAGTTCGGAGCACAACAGTTGTAGTAGCAGCAACAATTGGAGACCTGAAGGGGATGGGATATAGGCCATTACAACATGGTATGTAAAAAGAGTTTGTTTGGTCATCCGATCCTTGACGCGAAAACCAGATTTGACAAAGATAATAGAACATTTATTATCGTTTGTTAATTTTGAAATAGAGATAAGTCTATGAGTGAGATGAGGAACGTGAAATAGATGATCGAGATGAAGCTAACTAGTAGGTGTTGGAAGAAGATCGTTACCAACATGTTGAATAGGTAAGGAATTACCATTACCAACAAGCACTTGATCATGACCAGGATAAGGTGTGAGTTGCTAAAGGAGGAGCAAATCAGGTGTAAGGTGAGAAAAAGCTCCACTGTCCAAGTACCGAGGAGAGGGTTCATGATCAGCCACCCAAGCTACATTAGACGTCGATGCTGGAGGGGTATCTGTGAAGTTGCCTCTGTGCCAGCAATGAAGTGCGGAGTTACCGCGTCTACCGCAAATTTGACAATCACCTTTAAATTTTGGTGTCCAAGACAAACGGGTGGCATTGATGGGTGAGGTGAGACCATGACCTCGGCTGGAGGTAAATCGCCCACGAGATATGTCGCGGATGGAAAATAGAACAAGCAGCCCATCAGACTGAGTAGGATTAGACAGAGACAGTTCACGAACTGCATCAGTAGTTTGGTGGACTTCCTCACTTTGGAGGAGGGAGTACAAATCATCCAAGCTGATTGGGGGAAGAGAAGTTTGAATGGTAGTTTTGAAGGATGGATATAATGGAGGTAGCCCATTAAGGATATAATGCAGAATATCTTCATTATCAAATGTACTGCCAAATTTTGGTCTATCAACGTCTAAGATGAGAACTGGGATTGAGGGTGACCGTTGCAGGTAACATGTTAAGGGCAGTCGCCCGTCGAGAAGGAAGAAGACGAGCCGTTATGCACAAGGCTCTGATACCATGTTGCGGCTCACCGAATCAGCTAAGCTTACAAACATAGAATTAAATGAAGGAAGAAGATGAACAATGATCATTTTATTAAAACCATATGTGCTGATACACTCTTTATACTACTATATAATATAAGAGCAGATAACTGTAAATACTAAACTAGCCATGTTAGTTACATAAAGTGCCTAATTGGCAGGCAGTAGTGGCGACAAGCACAGCCTGTTAGCCGGCCTATGGTTTAGCTATTGTAGGAATGTAGTGGAGTTGTAATACTCTCTTCAGTGTTTAGGGCGGCTTTCTTACTGTTTCTTAAAACAGATTTTTAATACACAAATTTTAATTTTGTTCTAAAAACTACTTTAAAAAGCATAAAGAAAGTCAGTCCCAAATGAAGTCTTAGTTATAACCTTTGGCCATTACTTTTTTACTGTTGTCATATATATATATATATATATATATATATATATAAACATGACAAAAATGAATCTTAATCTTTTGTGCCTACATTGTAGTATAAATATAATCAATATTTTTATGTGGAGACATTTAAGATTTTTTTTTTTTGGAATATGATGATAATAATATAAGATATAGCCTTTA